CCGGATGGTGGTGCTATCCTTGGTCTTAGGGCTTTCGGAACAGGATGACTTTGCCAATATCCCTGACCTGCAAAACCCAGGAACCCAGCAGAACCAGAACGCTCAGGGGGACAAGAGGTACGCGCACAGGCGAGGGTCTGCAGCGGCGGCGGCAGAGGAGGCGGTGTGGAGAGGCCGCCTGCCTCAACCAGCCCTGGCGCTGGACGAGGTGGCAGTGGCTTCATTGGATGCTGGTGCCGGGAGAAGAAGCCCCCTCCCAGTTGGTGCCTTCACACACGTCCACCTTGGTGGTGCCCCTTGGGTCTGAGGCCACGGGGCATCCTGGGACCATTCTGGATCAAGCCTGCTCCCTGGGCACGCTTGCCCCTCGCCCAGAGCAAGCCCAGCCTTTTCTGCCCCCATCTCCCTGCTTGGCTCCCCTCTGCTGCCCCCTCCATCTTTCATCTGCCCCCACCCCCAACCTGGAAATCCCTGTTTCTCTGGTGGTTGCTGGGTGGGGGGGATGTCAGGGAGGGGCGACAGTCTGTTCTCCCTCATCCCCACCACCTCAACTTACCTCTTGCCTAGAGATCCCTTTGGGGTGGTGGCTGCACACCCCATTGCAGGAGCGTGACTGCGCTGCGCAGGGTGGGCGGGAGAGGAGCCCATGGTGGGGAGATCTGAAGGCAGAGAATACTGGGGCACAGGAGAGGCCTGGCAACAGGGCCAGAGAGGTGGCCCCTGAGCCCGGGGGAGCAGAGGAGGGCACAGGAGGGTGAGGCTGGCCCTGGTGGGCTCCCTTTCGCTGGTAGTCCCATTGCTGGCCCTCAGGGCCCGGTGAGACCAAGAGCAGCCCGTGTGGTCACAGCCACAGCTCAGCAGAGGGCTGGACATTTACTTCTGTAGCCTCAGCCATCAGGAATTCAGGAAGTGTTTCCCAACTTCCCTATTCAGGGAGGGACTGGAGCTGTGCTCTTGGGGAGGGGGACAGGGCTCAGGCGGCATCACAAAGACAGGATACCTGGCCTAAGGTAGTCCTCAGCTGGGAGACCACACACCTGTTAGCCCCCAGCAATGGGAGGAGGCTTCATCCCCTGGGTCAGGCCTGCTAGGAGGCCTCTGGGTAAGCAGGGGGCCCGGCAGCCAGGATGTCCGCCTTCTAGCTCCGGCTCTGCGACCTTGGGCCTGTCCCAGTCCTCGTTGGCCTCTGCTTCCTCATCTGACAAGTGAAGGCTTTGCACAGGGTGACCCCTGCAGAGTGTCGTCCCTCCCAACCCCCCCAAGCTCTGACATGGCTAAACTTCTAATGAGGAAGACAGGCTCTGCAGCTGGACACTTGGCTCTGTGAGCTGAGCATGGGCTGTGTTTGGACGGGTGACCCTGTCACTGGTGAACAGCCCCATCAGGGCAGGAAGGGGCTGGCTGAGGCTGCTGCTGGGTGCTTGTGGGCTAGGGAGGGGTGGACAGGCTGACTGCTCTGTCTCTCCAGTGGCCTCTCATTTCTTCCCATGCCGAGTGCACAGTTGCATGTCTCTGGCAGGCCAGGCTGGGGAGGGGAACAAGAGAGCAGCCACTTCTTTCCCTCTGTGGCATGGATGGTGTCCAGCCCTGAGCCCACGTCCAGGCATGCGAGAGGGGTGGGGCCTGCCACTCCAGCCCACCTGGGCACTGCAGGAGCCATGGCTTTCTGGGCCGCAGGTGGGCCACAGGGCCACAGGCGGAGGGTGCAGGAGAGGCCTGGGGCCTCTGAAGGCCTGCTAGGAACCCGAACCCCTCGAGAGGAGCGGTGTGAAGTGTGAGGGAGCAGGTGCAGGCTGGAAACGAGATTTCACATCACCCATTTGTTAATTGACTAGCTCCATTTTCACCCACCACCTATTTTTACCTCCTTGCCACTTAGGTCTCACTCCATATTTTAACACACTCTTCCCTTCTGATCATGACATCAGCTTGTTCCCATCCTTCCTTCCTTCCTGGGAAAGGTGGGTGTGGCGGTGGAGGTCGTGGCCCACCCCACCTGGCCTGGCTTTCCGAGTGGACACCTGCCATTCCCACCTGGTCATGCCCACCCCATCCCGGAAACTCACCCTTCGGGCCCTAGGTGCTTCCCAGGAGGCCGGCCGCCGCAGGGATGTCCAGAATCCAGTGTGTCCTTCCTTCTTTCCCATCCCAAGGTTTGGCATTCACTCCACTCCCGAGGGCCCTGGGACTGTGGTCCTGGGAGTGGTCGGCTGGGTCAGCTGTCCCTTCTCTCCCCCTTCTGCCACTCAGCCCAGGGTCTACCTCTGCCCCCAGGACCACCGTTTTCCACCTCAGCCAGATGTGCACACTCTTGGCCAGGTGTCTCTGGAGTGAGGAGGTGGACAGCCCTTAGCTGTTTTGGGGAGAACCTTCAGTCCCCACATGGTCTGTTAGCAGCAGGCTCAGGAAGGTCTCCTGGGAGATGGGAGGGTCCGTGAGGAGGAGCGGCCACTGCAGGTCCCAAGGGAGGTGGGGTGTGTCAGCAAGTCAATAGGGAGATGGAGGGTCATCAGCTTTCCTGGTGACCTTGAAGTCCCCCATCCAGGACCCACCACCCATGGGCCTCACCACAGTGGGCCCCACAGATTCCATATCAGACTTCAGGACACTCATGGACCCAGGAGGGAGGCCCTGGCTCCCATGCCCAGCTGTGCCCATTCCATGCTCACCCATTCTGCCCTGTACCCATCCCAACCTCATCCTCTCAGCCATCCCCTTCACCATTGCTCCTTGGGATCCAAATGGTTTCCACCATGGTTCCACCCCCCACCCCAAGTGGGGGGCGGGGTGGGGACCAGGCCACCCCATTGCTCTCCTTGCTTTGAAGCCACCATGTTTCTTCTGCCCTGTGTGTGTCCCCCGCCTCCTCTCTGCCTCTCCTTCCGGCCGCCTCGCTCCTCCCTGCCCCCTTGTCCACCCGGCAGGCTTCTTCACACGTCTCTTACTAACCTTTCTTGGCTCTTCTCTCTCTCTCTCCTTTCTTCCATCTGCTCCTCACAGGGTTGTCCCTGGGCCAGTGACAGGCCCCTCGGTCTCTCCCTCCGCCTCTCTGTGCCTCTCGTCTCTCTGTCCCTCTCTGTCCTGTGACCTCTGACAGCTTCCGTGGCGCTGACCATCTTTCCCAGGCTGCTTTGCAGCTGTGCTGATGCTGTGGTGTGGCCAAAATAACTCCGACTTTCTCATACCTTCAGCAGTCAATCTCGCGCGCTCTCCTCCTCTCCTGCTCTATTTTTAACCTGACTTTACCTCGCCAGCTATTTCAGTCTCCTCTTCCTCCCCGTGCCTGTCTGCGTGAGCACATGTCCACGTGTGTGTCCGTGTGTGCGTGTGCACCCATGCACGCACTGCTGCAGCCGTGTGTCTGGGAGGGGATGCCCCGGTACGTCCCTGAGCGGGATGGGGCTTTTCTGTGTTGTCAAGGCCAGGCCAGGTCTCCACAGCAGGTGTATCCTGGGTCTGATGCTTGAGGTGTCTGCCCCCGAAACCGCTCCCTGCTTTTTCTGTTTCAGTCTGCCCGATTCACGTGCAAACCTTGGCATGCCTCGGTTCCCCCAAATGTGTTTGCTCCCAGGATCTCAGGGTGCCATCTCTGTGTGTGTCATCACAGCTTTCTGGTCCCCCACCTGGCTGCTCGTGGCCTTCTCTCCCTGGTCCCCTGGGAGTCTTGTGTTGTGTGCACTTGTGTGTGTGCCATGTTTGTGTGTGTGTGTGTGTGTGTGTGTGTGTGTGCACAGCCTGCTGCAGGATCTGGTGTCTGCACTCCAGGCCCTGGCATATATCCATGCATGACTGTCTGTCTGCCTGTCATGGCCAGCTGTGGGCTGGCGGCTGGTCTGGCCCAGAGGCCATGGCTCCTGTCCAGCCCGTGTGTGTTTCTGAGTCAGTGGCTGTCCCACAACTGTTCTATTCCAGTCTGTCCCAGCCTCATGCTGCCAGTCTCCCCATCTCTTCGCTGTCTGCCCTCACCTCCCCTCCTCCTCATGGGACGTTCCAGCCTGGTCCTGGGCAGGCCTTTGGGACCCCCTTCTGGAGCCCATGCTGAGCGGAGCCCGGGCTCACCACGCAGCCTCTGGGCCAGAGAGCGGCTTCCCAGGAATAGCACAAAGTCAAGGTGTGGGCAGAGCCTGGTGTTGGGACCATCAGCCCCAGGGCGCCCAGTATGCCCCATTTTTCTCCATCCCCGGAAGAGACCTTATCAAGTGTACCGTCCTCAGAGTGTGAGAAGGGTGAGGGCTGGGGGCAAGGGGTACAGACGCACCCTAGTCTCCAGAAGGCTGTTTAGATTTAAATTCATTTAAATAAAGTAAAAAGTCAGTTCTCAGTTACACTAGCCACATTTCAAGAGCTCAGTAGCCACATGTGGCTAGGGGTGACAGGATTGGGCAACACAACTATGAATGCTTCCGACATCAGGCAAGTTCTGCTGGACAGAGCTGTGTAGACAGTGATCCTGACTTCGCCCGGTCAGCCTCATGTCCGCCGGGTGGGAAGGGCACCTGTGCTCTCACTGAGCCTGAGCAAACACAGGTGGGGGCCTCCGGGAGACAGACGCTGGGTGTGTTTGCAGAGGGTCATGACGCAGAGGGAGGATCTGGACACGCCACCATGGAGCCTCCCCATAAGCCTCTCCTCCCAGGCTGGGGAGTGGGCAAGGGGAGCAGACCTGGAGGGGAGGGGACATGCTCAGAGACCATGATGCTAAGACAGTGGCTAGAAGGTGAGGGCGTTTCTGGATAAGAAGAGGGGGAGCACCCTCAGGGGCAGTTAAGCCAGAGATCCTGGGGCAGAGGTGAGGATATCATACGAGCTGCAAAGGAGGATGGAGACTGAGGACTGGTCTCCAGGGGAAACCAGGCTCCCGGTGGACAAGCACGCCACCCTACCTGCCTGCAGGAGGTGGAAGCCAGGTCCTCAGAGATGGGCCTGCCTCACCCAGGCCCACGGTGCCCAGCCCACACCCACCTGTCAGCCCCTGCTTATCTGGACTCCCCCACCCCCAGGTTGCCCACAGGCGGGAAGGCAGTGAACACAGCTCCAGTGCCAGGCCAGACACCGCACGATGAGTCTGACCACCGCACCGAGCCGCGCTCCTCTGTCTCGGACCTCGTCAACTCCCTCACCAGCGAGATGCTCATGGTGAGAAGGGCGGGAGGCCTGGGCCCCAGCGGAGGAGCCGGGCAGGGTGGGGGTGGTAACGTGTGAGAAGTGTTATCAGCACAGAGTCGGTCCACGCAGGAAGGGAGACCGAGTCAGAGGCAGCCTGGAGAGCCAGGCCCCGCATCAGGACCACTCAGTGCTTGTGACTTGGGCTCTTTTCCCAGCTTTTTCACTAAAATAACCTCCCTGTGCCTCAGTTTCCTTATTTGTCAAGGGAGAATAAGAATGCGCATCCTCCTTCAACCCCTTTCTGGACTGGGGACCTGTTACCCATTGCCATCTAGTCGAGCCTGTAGGACAGAGTAGAACTGCCCCGTAGGATTTCCAAGGGTGTAATCTTTACGGAAGCAGATGCTGGGTCTTTTCTCCTGAGGAGTGGCTGGTGGGTTTGAACTCCTGACCTTTCAGTTAGCAGCTGAGCACTTAACCACTGCCCCACCAGGGAGCCTTTGGATTGCCAAGAGACCTAAGAAAACCTATTCATGGAAGATATTTTTATGCTCCTAGAAGGAAAGGCTGATGGGCAGAGGACTTGAGGCAGAAGATGTCCTCTCCCTCAGAGTGGCATCTCCTTGAGTGGAGGGAGGTCTGGGGCAGTGTCCGCAGCACAGCAGGTCTCATATCCCCAGACTAGGGACCTCCTGGCACCACCATTGCTGGGGGTCAGCTGAGGCCCAGAGAGAACAGGTGAGCAGGAGCCACTGGCCCCGATTCCTACGAGGGGGCAGCTGTGCTGGGGTTCTCCGATCCATACCCACACCCCACCTGATGCCCCCTGCCCCTTGGGATCCTAGACCTGAGTGGACAGATTGTGGCGTCACATGGTGCCCCCTAGTGGCAGAGGTGAGTCACAGCCATTTGACCTGCCTGTGCTTCCTAAGGAGCCCTGGCAGCCCAGCAATTGGGCAGCCAGAGATTTGCAGACAGGAATCAGTTAAAGGTCTGGCGGCTCAGAAACCCCAGGAAGGCTTCCAGAAGGCATGAGGCTGGGAAACTGGTGCCTGCTCTGCTCAACAGGACTTGACCTGGGGCAAGTCACTTCCGCTCCCTGGGCCTCAGTCCCCCCCAACCACCACCGCCCTGGTACCACAGCCTCCACCTCCCTGAGGCCTCGGAGCATCCAGGCCCCACTCTTTTGCCATCTAGGGTTCTGGCCAGCTCTAACCATCCATCCCCATTGCCCTCTTCTAGCCCAGAGCCTCTCAAATTTTGACATGCACTGGAATCGTCCAGCTAGCTCGTTAAAATGCAGATTCAGAGTCAGCAGCCTCAGATGGGGCCCAGAGTCTCCATGGCTTTTGAATCCAGATTAGAACATCAGAACGTCCCTGTCCCGGATCTGGTCTCCCTGGGGCCTGTCCACCTCTCCCTGTCCCCGCCCTTCACGCTCCTGTGTCCCTGGCCCTCCACCACCTCCTACCCATCTCCCCCGACCCATGTGGATTGGCCTGGGCCATCCCCTTCTCCGGACAGAAGGACACAACACTGCCCAGCCGGCTGCTCTGCACAGCCTCCAAATTGGTTGCAGCTTCCCGGTAGCCAGGTTCCCAGAAGGGACGGCCCCTTCCCAGCCAGCTTGCCTGCCCCTTGCCACCCTAGGGAGAGGCCAACAGCTGCAGCCCGAAGAAGGAAGTGCAGGCACTCCCTCCCTCCCTCACGTGCTCAGTGGAGGAGCGGGGAGGCAGAGGCTAACTGCCCAGCCCTAGGCCAGTGCAGGGTATTGTCACTGATAGTGATGATAAAGATGAGTAGGGCAGGAGTAAAGCCACTGTGTGCCCAGCCCTTCAGCCGTCAGAAGCTGGGGTCAGCAGATGAGTAGGGTGCCCACAGCTTGCCAAAGGAAGGGACTGAGGGGCAGGGGTGATAGAACGGAGGCTCCCGCCCTGGCACAGAGGCCTCTAGGATGCTCTTTGATGCTGCTTTCTGCAGGAAGAGGGGCTGGGGCAGCATCTCCCCTGGGGCTGTGGTGGGGGTGGCCAGCCCTGTTGCCAGGGAGATGGCACCACGAGCTGCCCCAGCTGGTTAATTAGGACTCAGGGCTGTGGCCATGCGGCGGAAGACTTGGAGTGTTCATAAAGCCACTGCCCCCTGCCGAGGTGAAGCCCACCTGGCCCCAGACTGGCCTTTTTGAGAGCCAAGGGCCAGCCAGGTGGACGAGGGACCCTCAGGTGAGGCTGGGCTACCTGGGCTGCACTCACCAGGCACTGCACTTTAAAGAAACAGAGAGAGGCAAGTGGTCCATGCCAGCACTGCCTACACAGGCCATGCCCCAGGGTCTCGGTCACAGGGCCAGCAGCGCAGGGCCAGGCTGTGGAGAGGTCGAGAAAGGACATGAACCCTTTAGCCCTCCAGGAACCCCACCAGGCAGGTCTATGGTCCCCAGTCAGCAGATGCAGAAACCAGGTTCCCAGGGAGTGAGGCTGGTGCGACTGCTAGGAGCACCAGGGGAAAAGGCCTCAGGAGGGAAGCTGTGCCTCGGTGGGCCTTGGAGGGCTTTCGAGGTTTCTAGATCCAGCCAGGGGGTGAGGCTGGAGGGCCCCTCTTCCACTGTGAGGAAGAACAGTGGAGCAGCTCAGCCCCCACCACCAGATGTTGCTGGTGAAGCCCCAGACGCTGGGCCTGAGTGTGAGAGCCAGTGCGGGTGGAAGGGTGCTCTCGATTTCTGGGCCCTGGCCTCGGTTCGAGTTCCGACTCAGCCAACCTCTCTGTGCCCCAGACCAAAACTGGAATCCACTCATGCCTGCCTCGTCAGCTTGTTATAAGGAGTAAACGAGGGAGTGGCAGTGAAGCCCACGGCACAGGGCAGGGCCTGGGCGTGGCAGGCAGCTGACATGGTAACATGGGATACCCGTTGCCATCAACTCGATTCCAACTCATAGCGACCCTGTAGGACAGAGTAGAACTGCCCCATAGGGTTTCCAAGGCTGTAATCTTTATGGAAGCAGACTGCTACATCTTTCTGCCTCAAGCAGCTGGTGGGCTCGAAGCGCCAACCTTCCAGTTAGCAACCGCACACTTAACAACTGCACCACCAGGGTCCCTCTGACATGGGATAGTTACTATGATTAATGTGGTTTGGCTGCTTCTCACCTGGGGCAGGTGAGTTTAGGCTAGCTTGGGGGGAAAGTCTCCCCTTTGTCCTCGGGTGTGGGACTGCTTTGGTGGGTCCGTGCTGGCTGTGCAGTCTTGGACAGGTGACTTAACCTCTCTGAGCCAGTCTCCTCAGTTAGAGGGTGACGATAACCACCTTGCCGGCTGTTGTCAGGATTCATTAAGAAGGTGATGTAAAAGTCTTCATCCACCGTAGGTGTGCACTATGCATTATTACCGTCCTCATTATTCTTACTATTTCAGAGCCTGGGGTGGCTCTCCAGGATGGAGGAGGGGGCACAGAGCAGGCTTCTGCAGCAGGAGCAGGGACAAGACAGGTGCCACCAGAGCTTTCGTCTTCACTGTGGCTCCTGGGTCTCCCACCACCCCGCCCCCCAGCTCTCATCCAACCCTATGAAGAGCTTTTAGACACAGGGTTGCCTGAGCCAAGTGGACCCCCTGACTGGGTCTAGGGTGGGGCCCCAGCAGCGAGGGGTGAGGATTGGCTTGAAAACTTCCCCAGTGTTCCCCATGAGCTGCCACAGTTGAGAACACTTGGCTGAGTGACTCTCCCCCCATTTGCCAAAAACCAGTTGCCATCCAGTCAATTCCGACTCATGGCGACTCCATGTGTGTCAGAGTAGAACTGTGCTCCATGGAATTTTCAATGGCTGATTTTTCGGAAGGAGATCATCTGAGGCACCTCTGGGTAGACTCGAACCTCCAACCTTTCGGTTAGAAGCCCAGCATATTAACTGTTTGCACTACCGAGGGACTCCCCTTCCCCTATTACTTCCTATGTTTTCAATGTCAGGCTGGGAATTCTATACTCACCTCACCCTCCACGTGACTGCCCGTGGCTGGGTCCCAGCCCATGTGCCCCCTTCAGGGATAGGGACTTGAGTGCAGGTGTCGCCCTCCCTGCCAGTGGTTCTCAGACCCGATGCACGTGTAACGACTACACAGATCCCCAGGCCCCACCCCAGCCCAAGCAAATCAGACTCTGCCGGTGGGCCCTGGGGATCTGTATTTTTAAGTGTCCCGGGTCATTCTGCCTTACACAAATAGACGTTGCTCCCAAAGACTCGCCTCTCGCATTTTGTAAATCACATCACCCTCGGTACCCCAGAGAGTCGCTTTCCGAAGAAGAATTGTGTGTAAAGACTTTTCAGATACGAAAACTCTCCCTCATCTGTTTTATAACCCAGGCTTATGTGTTGCTGTATTTCACAGTGGGTTCCACATGGCAGGGTGGGAAGGTGGGGAGGGGAGCTCGAGGACCCCAGGGCGGCGTCAGGACAGCTGTCACCAGGGAGGAGAAGGCAGCCTGTGGTTGTGCTTTGGGAGGGGGGCAGGCCCAGGCAGCAAGGGGATGCTGGGGAGTCGTGCACACTGCCCTGGGGTTCAGGAGATGGGGGCTGTCTGGTCTGCCCCTCCCTCCCTGTATGACCTTGGCCAAGGCACTTACTTGCCCTTGAGCCTGAGCGTCTTCACCTGGATGTGAATCAGGATGGGCGACTACCACTGGCTCCACATTGGAACCAGAGAGAAAGGGTCCTTCTTGGCAGCTGGACTGGCCTGGGGCACAGGGAGGCCTCCTGGCCATGCTGGCCTGGGGTGGGGGGCCTTAGGGAAGCAGAGTCCTCAACCACACTGGCCTCTCCCCACACCCAGCTCTCCCCAGGCTCCGAAGAGGACGAGGCCCATGAGGGCTGCAGCCGAGAGAACCTGGGCCGGATCCAGTTCAGCGTGGGCTACAACTTCCAGGAGTCCACACTCACTGTAAAGATCATGAAGGCCCAGGAGCTGCCAGCCAAGGACTTCAGCGGCACCAGTGACCCCTTCGTCAAGATCTACCTGCTGCCAGACAAGAAGCACAAGCTGGAGACCAAGGTGAAGCGGAAGAACCTGAACCCCCACTGGAATGAGACCTTCCTCTTTGAAGGTAAGGCAGGTGCCACCCTCACCACCCAGGGCCCCCTTTTCCCCGCCACCATCCCCCCACCCAACTGTAACATTTGTGACCCCATGCACAAACACATACACACATCTGCAGGCACACAAATGCACCAACGCACACATGTATGCATCTTCGCAGTCATGCACACATGCACATGTGCAAACATACACGAGGACACAGGCGCATGTCTTGGCCCAGTTTACCCCATGCATTTGGTATCTAGCTGGGCTCACAGGGACCGAGTGGAGCCGGCATATCAGCCAGAGGCCCAGGAAGAAAGCCAGGCCATGGCCTGGGGTTTCAGCCCAGACACAGAACTCCTCTCTCAGAACCTGGGGAGAGGAGGACAGGAAGGGAGCAAACACCCACAGGATCCAGAAGTGGGTCACCATGAAGCAACCATAGTGTAATAGCTAAGAGTATAGGCTGTGGCCCAGGCTGCCGCAGTTTGAATCCCAGCTCTGCCATTTCCTGGCTGTGTGACCTCAGGCAAGTTCCTGAACCTCTGTGTTTCCTTATCTGCAAAACAGAGATAATAAGTGAGGGTTAAACACATTATCGGATTCCCTGGTGATGCAAACAGTTGTTGGTGATGCACTTAGTTGCTAACTGAAAGGTTGGAGGTTCAAGTCCACCCAGAGGTGTCTTAGAAGAAAAGCCTGGCAATCTACTTCTGAAAAACCAGAATTGAAAACCCTACATGCAGTTCTGCTCTGACACACATGGGATCACCATGAGTCGGAAACGACTCAACAACAACAGGAACTGGAAATACATAAGGGCATTGTAAGTGCAGTTAGAGTAGCGTCTGACACCGGAAAATACTCCATACCCATTTGTTAAACTGGGGCCATTCTCTGCTCCCTACCTGTGTCAGGCCCTTCGAAATGCACAGAAATGGCTCTGAACTACGCCCTCGGGTTCGTGGAGGCCGCTGAGGCCCTTGTCCTTCCTCTCTCATGCAGCCCCTCGTTAAAAGCCCTGCCTTTAATCTCTCCTCTGGGGATTCAAGGTAACTAGGAAGCAGGGTGTACGAGCCCGCCCAGCATGAGCAAGATGGCATCTCTGTACACTAAGAAGCCGATTCAACCAGTGAGAATAAATCCCTATGGCTCTGACTTCCTGGTGCCCTAGCTCTCCAGGACCCTCAGTGCACACCCACGGAATCATCCCCACCTGGCATCCTGGCCACTCAGTATCCCACCTGCCCTGCAAGGTGACAGGCCAACTCTCCCACTAAATTGAGCATGAGCTGGAGGGTGCTTGTGTGTTTCTGGACCCCCTCCTCCCTAGATCACTGTGGGGGGCCAGTCCCTTTCACAAGCACTTACCCAAAATCAGCTGTGGCCGAGCACTGTCCTGGGCACTGGGGTACAGAAAAGAATGAGGCACCATTATGGCCCTCAAGGTGTGCCTGGTATAATGGAAGACAAAGCATGCACAGCATGACAGGTACGACAGGAATCCATATGAGCTCCCCCTGGTGGTGCTGGAGAACATTTCTCAAAAGAAGGGCCATTCAAGATGGGTTCTGATGGATGAATAAGAGTTTGCCAGATAGAAGGCTACCTTCTCTGGTGTTGAAGAGAGCTGACTCAGGCACAGGAACCTTTTGAAGCCTCCAACATGTCCTAATGCATTTCATCCAAATAAATGCCAAGGGTCATCTGGGCAAGGTCACAGATGTGCAAGACACAGCCTCATCCCACCCTCCTCGCTTAATATGATGAAAGGAACCCTGAAGGAATTCAGAGGCCAGGGGGTTGGGAGAATGTAGGATTCACCTGCTCCTGTCAGAGGTTCCTCAGTGCTCCCAGAGTCTCTGTTAAAGGCTCTGGAATCTTCCAGAGCTCTTCCCCTCCTTTCATCTTCTCCACCAGTCAGGCCGAGGTGTGTCTGCTCTCCTTCCCACTCCCACCCCAGTTCAGGCCCCTATCACCTCGGCCTCCAGGCCGGCCTGTGCCCCTATACCTCCCTGGCCAATCCCTCCCACCCCAACTAAGCCTCCCAAGCTCAAATATCTCCCAGCTTCAGACCTTACCCTGCTCCCTGTTACCTTTTCCGTCCCCTCCCAGCTCCTTCCCTGGGCTGTCCCTCCCAGCCTTAGCTCCCACTCCAGCCCACATGTTCCAGCTGCTCCTTCAGACCATCTCACTGGCATGTATCCATTCATTCAACTATTTATTCACAAATACTTATCCAGTGCCGACTAAGTGCCAGAACCAGTGTTAGACGCTGGGATCAGTGACTCACAACAGAGATGCCCACCTGGAAGTCTAGGCGGAGAGACAGACAGCAATCAAGGAGACAGACAGATAATCCATATGACCATGTGGGATGCACGTTGCCAGAGGAGAGGGCTAAGACTGTGTAATGGAGGGGTCTGACCCCATCTGGGATAGCAGGAAAGAAAGCTGAGGCCCAAAGGATGAGAGGGGCCAGCATGTCCCAAGCCCGGAGGCAGGAAAAGTCAAGTGTTGAAGGGCCGGCAAGGAGGCTGGTGGCTGGAGCCCAGTCATTGAGTGGAAGCACAGTCACAGATGAGTGGGGAGAAGACAGCCAAATTGTGAAAGGACTCAAAGCCAAGTTCAGGGGCTGGCTTTTATTCTAAGTGCCCTGGGAAACCATTGAAAGGCTCTAGGCAGGAGAGTATCATGATGTGATTTCTATTTTTAAAATCTCACTCTGGTAGCTGTGTCCAGGGTGGACTGCAGGAGAAGAAAAGAGAGCCTTCGGGAGGCTATTGCAACTCTCCAGGCAGGAGGTGCGGGGGCTTGGGCAAGGGACGTGGCAGTGGAGAAAGGGACAGTTGCAGGACCTGATTACGAGGAAGAACCGGAAAGACGGCTGATGCATTGGGTGGAGGCAGAGGGGGCAGGAAGAGTCACAGGACATGCGTACTTCTATTTCCATACCTTTGCTATTTCTCCTGGTTGCTTCCCCACCACTGTCTGCCCTGAAGCCTCCTGGGGCTTGCCATGGCCATCTTGGGCAGAGCTACTTACCCAGACTTGCTTCAGGACAATTGGCAGTAGCAGGACTGCCCAGAGAGCAAGGGGGCCACTGCCCAGCCCCCAAGATGGACACATGACAAATGAATGAATGAATGAGACAGTGAGAGTTCCAGTCCTGCTCTTTATTAGCTGTGGGACTTTGGGCAAGTAATTTAAGCATCTGAGCCTCAGTTTCTTCATCTGAAAAATGGACATGATGCCATCCACCTTGGAAAACTGTGGAGGAGACAAGTGAGACAGTGACAGTTCTTGCTAGCTCTTCAGTAAGGTCTGAATGCTGGTTGTTCCCTGCTGTGCCGGGATGGGGTGGTGGCAGGAAGGCACAGGCCCAGACCTCCTCCTCTCGGGGCCTTCCTGCCCAGGAGCTCAGCCCTTCCTGGGCCCTGTCTTCATCTGTGCTTCTCTGTCCCCCAGGTTTTCCCTACGAGAAGGTGGTGCAGAGGGTCCTCTACCTCCAGGTCCTGGACTACGACCGCTTCAGCCGCAATGACCCCATCGGGGAGGTGTCCATCCCCCTCAACAAGATAGACCTGACCCAGATGCAGACCTTCTGGAAGGATCTGAAGCCATGCAGCGATGGGAGCGTAAGACCTCACTGTGGACCTCTGGCATGGGGGGGCTGGCAGGTCAGGGTTGGTGGATCTAGGATTGGCCAGGAGGGATGTGGGAAGGGGTTGCCATGAGTGGACCCCCAGGGGGCAGGGTTCCCTGCAGGTCTTACAATGGGGAGATACACCTGAGCTGTGGTGAAGAACTCAGGGTTCTGCCAGGGAGTGGAGGACTGGGGGAGAGCTCAGACCTCCAGGTATGCAGAAGGTGACAAAGGGGCCGGGTAAGCACCAGGTCAGGGTACAAGGGGGCTGGTGGCAGTTGGGCCACTCCCCACCTAGTCCCCACACCCTTCCCTGTGGCCCAGGCTCACCTCTCCTATTCTCCCTCCAGGGGAGCCGAGGGGAGCTGCTTTTGTCTCTCTGCTACAACCCCTCTGCCAACTCCATCATCGTGAACATCATCAAAGCCCGGAACCTCAAAGCCATGGACATCGGGGGGACATCAGGTGCTGGGGCACCTCGTGGCAACGGGCGGGCAGGCTGGGGAGGTTCTGGTGACATGATGTCACTCTGGATGTGGGAAGCAAGGCCTTCCCTGTGGCTCTCACCCCCAATGTTCTGTACCCCACTTCCAGTCCTAACTCCTCTACCCTAGAGGCTTTGGTGGACAACCTTTAGAATACCGTTAGGGTCAGATCATCTTGGACCCTGTCCTTCTAAGAACCAGGAAGAAAGAGAACGTTGTGGTAGAGAGATCTGGGTTCTAGCCCCAGCTCTGACACAAACTTGCGTATGACCCCGGGCAAGGCCCTTGCCTCTCTGGAGCTCAATGTCCTTGTTAGTGTTAACAGGAGGCACTAGATAAAGTTCCTTTCTAGCTCCACCATCAGCTCTTTCCTGCAAATCCCTCTCATTGTTGCTTGGGTCATTCCTCACCCCCTTGGGAAAGGACACAGCTCCCTCTGCCCCAGCTTCCACACCTGGCAGGGCGAGTGGACCTTCTGACCCGTCCCCTGCCCTCCAGACCCCTACGTGAAGGTGTGGCTAATGTACAAAGACAAACGGGTGGAGAAGAAGAAGACGGTGACGATGAAGAGGAACCTGAACCCCATCTTCAACGAGTCCTTCGCCTTTGATATTCCCACGGAGAAGCTGAGGGAGACCACCATCATCATCACTGTCATGGACAAGGACAAGCTCAGCCGCAATGATGTCATCGGCAAGGTAGGAGACGATGCAGGTGGAGTCTGCACACAGCTGGTGCCCAGAGAGGGCTTATTCCTTAAAAGATGCAGTTAGGGCAGTAGGTGAGTGAGGGGCTGGGCACCAGGAGAGATCAGGCCAGTCCCTGCTTCTCTCTGGGCTTGTTTCCTCATCTGAAAAATGAGGAGATTAGATGAGATTCTCCCTAAGGTTCTCATCAGTGTCCAATGGGTCAGTGAGCTCAGGACAGATCACTGGGAGGTCAGGGAAAAAAGGAAATGGGAGAAAGAAGTGCCCTGAATCCCAAAAAGAGGATTTTCTGGACAGCACCCTCAGATACGGTGAGGATCTCTGGGCCATGTTGCCCGGGGTCTTGTCTGCGGAGGGTGAGCTGTGTGGAGCAGCGTCAAGAGCTGCAGTCAGACTCCAAGACCTGGGTTCAGTTCCCACTCCATCTGTCTCTAAACAGCTATATAACCTTGGGCAAGTCACTTTGCCTCTCTGAGCTTCGGTTTTCTCAGCTATAAAATGGAGATACTAGTACCAACCCTACAGAACTTCACGTGGTGGTGTAACAATTGCCGGAGTTCTCCTTGTTTAAATGACCTCTCCTTATACATATTAACCAGAAAATCCATGCCTGGCCATGAGTTTTTCCAGGATGTGATTCTATGACATAAACCTTTCCATCTTTCTACTTTGAAATGTCTATTTCCTGTGTTTGTTTATGACTTAGTGTTAAGAGTGTGGGCTTGGGAGTCAAACTGCCAGAGTCCAGATCCCAGCCCCACCTGTGAACAGCTGTCACCTCTCTGAGCGTCATTTCCTCCTCTCAAAATGAGAGTAAGAGAGTGAGCCCTAACCTCACAGTGCAGAGCCCTGGTGGCGCAGTGGTTAAGAGCTCGGCTATGAACCACAAGGTCAGCTGTTCGAATCCACCAGCCACTCCTTGGAAACCCTATGGGGAAGTTCTGCTCTGTCCTATAGGGTCACTATGAGTCGAAATCGACTTGAAGGCAGCTAGTTTTTGGTTTTAACTTCACAATGTGCTGGGAGAACTCAATAAGGCAACACAGGTGAGGTGCTTAGCGTAGTACCTAGAATGTATGTGTTAGCTACTATTTATAATAAAAGTTAATTCTGAGATGTTCCTACTAGCCTTGGCCAGGCTAAGTGTGTGCATCCCCATTCTGGGCATGGTGGTTTGACCAGGAGTGGGGCAGGAGGCCAGTGCATCAGGACAGGGAGGGAGGTGGATGCCAGAAGCAAGTGAGGAGAGAACACAGATCACTTGGGGCGTTGCCCTTTATGGGGAGATGGGTAAAGGTGACCCCCGGGCACCCACAGGGAAGGGGGCTGAGGGAGAGGCATCCCTTGGACAAATGGGAATGGAGAACTAGGATGTGGGGGATGAGAGAGGCAGTGTAGACTCAAAGAGGACAGCTGGCCCAGACAGCCTGGCTGGGCAGCCTGTGGTCACAGGTGGGACAGCCCCTCAGGATGGCAGTGTGTGCTGTGCAGGGCTCGTGGCTGCTGAGCCCCCTTCACCAGCTCAGGCCCAGGGCCACATAACTATAACTACTTCTAGGCTTTTGAAGCTTAGCCTTCTGGAGTTGGGTTTTCCTTAGATACCAATTATAGCTCCCCTCGAAACAGTCTTCTGTTGGCAGAGCCCAGGCAAAGTGGATTTGTTCCCACTTTGCCCTGAGTAGCTTAGGGAGCCAGAGAATCTCCAACCTACCCGATCCCCAGCCCCAGTTCAGCCCTGGGAAGCCAGGAAGCTGTCACTCCCGTCTGCCTGGCATCACTGCGGGCATCATGCCAGGGCAGAGGCTGCAGATGTGGACCAGCCCTGGAGCTGGATGGGCACACAGTGGCCCTAGGGCTCCATGGCCCCGGATGGGGGTGTGTGCAGTCAGCCAGCTTCAGAGGGATGGAGCCCACTGGCTGAGAGAGCTCACAGCAGGGCACCCACCGTGCCAGGCTCAGCACTCAACATGTACCATCCCAACACTCCATGAGGTACCTCCATTAGCCCATTCCACAGAGCAGGGCCTGAAGCCTAGAGGGGTCACTCCCCTGGGATGTGGCAGAGCTGGGAATGCCCCCACTCTTTTCTTTGTTTTAAATAACTTGTTATTTTTGAGAATATACACAGCAAAACATACACCAGCTCAGCAATTTCTACATGTATAATTCAGTGACATTGTTTACATTCTTCAAGTCGTGCAACCATTCTCATCCTCCTTTTCTGAATTGTTCCTCCTCCATTAACATAAACTCACTGCCCCCTAAGTTTCCTGTCTAACCTTTTGAGCTGCTGTTGTCAATTTGATCCCATATAGATATTTCTTAAAAGAGCACAATGCTCAAGGCAGACATTCTTTACTAGTTAAGCTAAACTATTGTTTAGCTGGAGCCCTGGTGGTGCAGTGGTTGAGAGCTTGGCTGCTAACCAAAAGGTCGGCAGTTCGAATCCAGCAGCCACTCCTTGGAAACCCTATGGGACAGTTCTATTGTGTCCTATAGGGTCGCTATGAGTCGAAATCAACTTGATGGCAGTGGGTTTGGTTTGGGTTTATTTTTTGATTTAAAGAAGACTTCAGGGGATATTTTTGGTTGAAGGTTTAAAGATTGTCTCAGGGCAATAGTTTTGGGGGTTCATCCAGCCTCAGTGGCTGCAGAATGTCTGCACTCCATGAGTTTTTTATACACTTTTTTTGTTTTGTTTTTATCTATTTTTTTTTAATTGAGGTGAAATTCACATAGCGTACAATTCATTGGCATTTAGGGCTATGTGCAATGTTCTACAACCACCACCTCTGTCTAGTTTCATCACCCAGAAAAACACCCTGTACCCATTAAATAATCACTCCGCATCCCCCCTCGCCCCCTGGTAACTGCTAATCTGCTTTCTATCTTTAATACACTTTTCATTTTGGGATAATTTTAGATGGGCAGAAAAGTTGCAGAGATAGTACACAGAGGTCCCATATAACCCTCACCCAGCTTCCTCCATCATTAACATCTTACGTTACTGGGGTAACATTTGCCACAACTAAGAACCTGACGTTGGTACATTACCACTTAGCAGCCACAAGGCAAGGAGGCCTGGCGGTGCAGCAGTTAAGTGTTCAGCTGCTAACTAAAAGGTTGGCAGTTCAAACCCACCCAGTGGCTCCATGGGAGAGAGAACTGGCAATCTGCCCTCGTAAAGATTATAGTCTAGGAAACCCTATGGGGCAATTCTACTGTCACATGGGGTCCCTATACGTCGAAATCGACTCAACATCACCTAACAATAAGCCACAAGGCTGAGGTCAGCTAGGCCCACCCTGGGGATTCTGGGTGATCCATGAAAGCAGCCCAGCTAGGCTATAAAGTCCCTAACACAGAGGCCCGGCAGGATTGGCTGGCCATGTACAGCCAAGACAACCCGGATTTCAATCCTCTGCACCGCTTATAAATTCTCAGACTGTGGGCAAGTCTCTTAACTCTCTGCACCTTAATTTCCCCATCTGTAAAATGGGACTGATTATAATATACCCATCTCACAGGTAAGGGTTCAGTGATACATTGTGTAAAGCCCCTAGCTCAGTGCCTGGCATGTAGTGTGTGCCCAGGAGGTGGAAGCGATTGTAACAAAGGTGAAATAGACAGTGTTCAACAGGTAGGACAGGGAAGGCCATGGGAGCTAACTGCCACCACCCCACCTTCTACCCCCACTGCAAAGTAGGTCGGGAGTGTGATTGGCTAGGACCAGGCTTGCCCAGGCTCCCAAGGGGAGGTCCAACCGGGAAACCAGCCAGGCTGGCAGGGTGTAGTGGACTGGAGGAAGGCTGTCCCTGGGCTATGTTGTCACTGCAGGCAGAGGGCCAGAGGTCCCCTTGTGATGTTGTTGATCACAGGCTAGCGTGTCATCGTGAAGCAGCCCTGGTGGCCAGTGGTTGAGCACTCCGCTGCTAACCTAAAGATGGGCGGCTTGAACCCACCAGCCGCTCTGTGGGAGAAAGGTGTGGCAGTCTGCTTCCGTAAAGATTACACAACCTTGGAAACCCTACGGGGCAGTTAGTTCTACCTTGTCCTGTAGAGTCGCTATGAGTCGGAATCTACTGACTCCCAGCCAACGGGTTTGGTTTTGGTTTGGTGTCATCATGGAGACAGTGTCGCCCCCTGGTGGTGGTAAGGGAGCACTGCCTCAGAGTTGGCCGCTAATGCTTACCTCTGCGTTCTCTCCCCAGATCTACCTGTCCTGGAAGAGCGGGCCAGGAGAGGTGAAACACTGGAAGGACATGATTGCCCGTCCGCGGCAGCCTGTGGCCCAGTGGCACCAGCTGAAGGCCTGAGTGGGGCCAGGAGAGGCCTGGGGGGGCCAAGGGCCCGGGTCCCCATCATGCCCTCACCACTTTATGCACAACGCCCAGCCTGGCCCCCCTGCCGTGGGTGAGGGGAGGACCCTGAGGCTCGGCCTGGCAGGGAGGGGGTCCTAGGACTCGGCCCCATTTCTAGGAAGTACCAGCCCCACCCCCACCAGTCCAGCTCAGCGGGGAGGGCTCCGGGAGCCGTTTTCCTGCTTTGCCCCTTTCCTTCCTGACTTGCTGATACTAAAGAAGTGGGGGCAGCGCGAAAGCCAAACTGGCAGATCCCTCCAGAGGCCCGCCAGGTGGGCATGGCCCACCGTTTTCTTTGAGGCAGCGCCTGGAGTGGAGAGAGGCCTCCCCCTCCCCACCCCCATACGTGCCCAGGAGAGAGGAGGTCGAGGCGTTTGGCCCCGGCCAGCAGAGGCCTGGCCCCAGGGCAGTTTCAGGTGCCGGCTGGGCCCTGAATGCCGAGGAGAGTATAAATAGCTCGCTCCAGGTCCTGGACCCAGGGCGCTGTGTACTTGTGTCCATCCATGTGTGTGCGTGTGTGTGCAGGGGGGCCACTTGCTCCCTGTCCTCCTGGGGCCGGCAGTGCTTGAAGGCTATGCCGACATGACATGGTTTCATGAAGGCCAGGTGAGGCTAGAGCTGGGAGAGGGAAGGGCCATAAAGCCTGGGGTGGAGAGAGGCAGGTAAGGGGTGAGAAGGGCAGGGTGTGTACGAGGCTGGGGTGGAAAAGAGGGCCAGACACTGGAGCTGGGCTGAGAACTGGGCTGCCTCTGTCCCTCCCAACCCCCTCAGAGCCCACTTCTGCTCAGAATCCTCTGGTAGCTCCTCCCCCAGCTATTTCATCTCTTGAGCATCTGTTCACACCTTTTAGGCACCAACTGTGTGCATTGCATTCCACCAGGACTCACCTGCTCTCTTCCTTCTCAGAGGACCCACACCCCCAGCTATCTTCCCTAACACCCCATCCGAGGACCTTCCCACCGCCTCCCCAGATCTCATATCCCAGCCAAGTTGGCAATACTCCCCAAGCTTGCCAGCTTCCTGTTCCTCATTGTCTGTGGAGACCCTAACCCCATCCCCACCCCCCCATTCTCCATGCTTGCAAACTTCCCTCTTCACTCCCCTTCATGATTTCCCATCATCCAACACCGACCTTCTCCAGGAGCCTTCTCACCCTCCCCACTCCCCTGGTCCCTCAGAGCAGCTCCTTCTGGCCCTCCCACTCCAGTGCAGGGGACAGAAGCTGTGGTTTCTCCACCTCAGCTGCTGCTGAAGCTAGAACTGGCTTAACCCTGGAGATAGCAGATTTCAGGATGATCCCCGCTTAAGACCCACTGATCCGCACACTGGTCCTGTATTGATACAGGACCCAGCTGGTGACAGAGCCTCAAACCCCGGGGGTCCGCGAGCCTGGCTGCCATTCCAAGCACACACCGCCAGGTGGCGCCCGGACACTACAGTCTGTCTCCGGGCCTGACACCCACCCCAACCCCAGGAAAGAAGGGAATCCTCTGTCCCCATATCAACAGACCGCCGAAAACATAGGCATTTTGGGACCATTTTCCTTTAGTAGGCTGCCTCTTGAGCTGACCATTTTGCTCTATGCAGTAGACAGGTCACCTTTTGCCCATATCAAAATGTTCTTAAATTATATCTCACCCCACTCCCCATCCCCGCCCTTACCCCCCTATCCCCTGGGATCTGGAGGAATATCATACATAGTAGGTGAACCGTTTTGTAGAGTGAAGAATGCTGATGTAAAGCAAATAGTCACCCACATTCCTTGTAAATCAAGACTTTTCTATACTGTAGCTTTAAAATGGGGTCCGCCCCAATTGCGCCTTCCTTAGCAGGAGAGCTGGGCACCACCTCCCAGCGGGGATGGAAAGGCAGCGACCCTAGAGGCTGTGTAAGGCGAGGAGAGGGTGCTATCATTCTCTACCCCTCCCTCGGATCTGCCTCAGTTTCCTGCACCCCTCCATCCCGCCGGGACCGGCGAGTGAGCGAGACCACCCCAGGCCCCCTCACCTGCCCTGAGCTAGAGAGCCCTCGGGGACCGAAACGAATCGTACTGAGCGGGCAGGGCAACAGCATCCTCTTTTGCGAGCCCCGCCCATGCAGCGCTTAGCCAATCATATGCAGCGAGCATCTCCGGGCGGAGTCTGTCCTCAATCAGACCCCGCCTAGGCACATTTGCAGTTCAGCCTGGGCTTCCCCAGGCCACAATCGCTGCTGGAACTCGGGGCCTGGGGGAGAGGCGGCGAGTGTGGGCTGAGGGCCCGGTCAGCTGGCACGGGAGGAGGTGGGTGGTGTGGGATGGAGGCGGGGGAAGGTCTAGAGCGATAAGAGAGCAGGAAATGGGGGAACGTGAGGTGGGGGGGCACTGGAGCCCTGCCGCCATCCCAGGACATTGGGCAAGTCACCCACACCCCCTGGGCCTCAGTTTCCCTATCTGTAAAATGATGGTAATAATACTTCACCTACCTCATAGGGGAGGTTGTGAGGCCGCCGTCACCTGACCTGGGGATCAAGGCAGGAGGGCTCTGAAGGTGCTACCCGGGAGCAATGTATTATTACTGCAGCCTGAGAGTGAGGCCCACCTGCCCCTCCCCCACAGAGCCTCCAGGAATAGCCGAGGCCTGCCCGGGCCCTTCCTGTCTTCTCCACTGTGTCGCAGGTCCCTTCATCAACATCATCTGTCGTTTTTTGTGGCGCCCTAGATGTAGTCCTTATCTTGTTCAGGTATCTTCTGACCATCCCCCCACATGACTGCTGTACAGATTCCACCTGCCCCAGGACCCCGCACCTGCCCGCCGGCACCAGACGCCAGGGAGGGGACAGGAAAACAGCCACACACAACACATACAAAAAGCCAAGGGGGCCCCAAGGGTGGGGAATTGGTGGCCGCTGTTTGTATTGTGTTTGAGTCCTTGAGCGCAAGTGTTTTATAAAAAAAAAAAATCAACAAAAACCCACTGAAACCAAAAAAAAAAAAAAAAAAAAAATTTACAGCGAAGAGAAATGAAGGAAAAACTGAAGGGAAAAAAGAACCATACAAAAATGTTCCACTACACGCACCCTTTAAGCCAGCAAGATTTCCTCTTTGCAAAATCATATTTTTGCGGGAATGGGCCCGCTTTTTGTGGCAAGGCCCATTCAATTAATAAAGGATGGTGAAAAAGTAGGGCCTTGGCTGTTTCCTCCGTGGGTCCCAGTCCTCCCTCGCCTCCTCAGGGGAAGAGGCAGTGGGGTGAGGGGGATGGGAAGCTTGGGCCTGAGTCCCCCACTTGTCCCATTTGGCTTCATTGGTGACAAGGCTCTTCCTGAGCTTGCATCCCATCCTCAGATCCAGAATATGAACACTAGCTGCCCAGGAAGCAACGAGAGCAGCTTCACCTCAGCAAGGTCACGCGAATGGCACAGCAGCCCCCCTTTAGTCTCCATGTGACTCTCACCACCCTCTGAAGCAGGACAAACCAAAGGACCCTCCACCTTCCCCACTACCACGCCCTGGGCTCTGGCTGGGGCCACTGTGGCCTCAGGCTCTTGTCTCCTCCCCTCACTGGTCCTAGTGGAGTAAGGAAAGACTCAGAACCCCAGGTGTGTTGGCTGGACCCACGAATTCTCTCCACCCTTTTCTAGTTTAATCCCTTGTTGTTGTTAGGTACCATCAAGTCAATTTGGACTCATAGTGGCCCCATGTGACACAGTAGAACTGCCCCATAGAGTCTTCTAGGCTGTAATCTTTATAGAACAGCTATGAGTCAGAATTGACTCAACGGCAATGGGTTTGGTTTTCGTTGGTAATCTTTATGCAAGCAGATCACCAGGTCTTTCTCCCTCAGAGCAGCCTGGGTAGGTTTGAACCACCCTTTCAGCTAGCAGCTGAACGCTTAACCATTGCGTCCAAGTCTCCTGTTAATCCCTTAGGATTAGAAAAGTCTCTCCAACTCAAGAGAGCCCATGGCACGCTCTGGTCTGAGGCGTCGGGAAGCTAGGCTGCAGTCCCTTCCTTCTCAAGCCTCTGTGGCCCGGAAGAAGCTATTCCCTTCCTCCAGGTCTCAGTCCCATCAGTCCTCAAAAGAGCAATAACCATCCCAGCCGCTCCCCTCCCTCTCCCCAGACACAATCCAGACCTGGCAGCTCTCAGGCTACTTCAGAAGGCAGGTGCCACATCTATTTCAGACACAGGCACGAAAGAATGAGCCCCCCTTGTCGTGTGGCCACACCCACTGCCCCCCCTCCAGAGTGAAAGGGGCCAGCATGCCTCCTGCTCCCCAGCACCTGGGGCCAGCGGCTGTACCCCCAGTTGAAGCCACCTGCCTTCCCTTTCTGCCCCAGAATTTCTCACCCCTTGGTTTAAATGTCCCATTAGAAGGTAGTTGTTTCTTCTGGCTCTGAATTCTGCCCAGAGGCTGGCGGGAGCCCCAGGGTCAGGTAAGTAGCCTCAGGGGCTCAGCCTTGCCAGAACTTTCTCCATGAAAACAGCTCTGAGACGCTGAGCGTGAAAGCAAGGACAGCTCAGCCCCGGCAAGGTGGCAGCAACCTCGTCACCGGCTCAGGGCCTCTTCCTTGGCTTTTTGCCTCTTTCCCTACCTTCACTTCTTTGGGTCTGTCTTCATTCTCTCCTCCTTTGAGGTCTCCTTCCACCCCTCCTACACCTGGAACGACTGGTGTTTCTTTCTCCCGCAAGTTCCTCCTGGATACCACTGCATCCTGGAAGCCGTCCTGGGCCATGTCCTGCTCTCTTCTCCCTCCCTCACAAAGACAACCAGAAGGACAACGTTTGAACACGCTGTACACCCCAGCCCGTGGTTCCCCTGACCATCTGTTTCTCGTGACGATGTCCCTGTGTCTGTGTCCTGTGTGTATGTGTCACGTCTCGTTTAGATTGTGAGCCCCTTCACTTGGGCAGGGATCCCTGTCTGCATACGTGTTCTGTGTGGCACGCCTGGGTTTGCTAATAAATGGTCATCCTCAGAACGAGTGCCCAGGTGCCTTGGGGATGCTGTGGGACAGATGGCTGGATAAGCCACGTGGTGGAATCAGAGGCAGGGAGGTGCTTCTGGGCAGGGCCCACAGCTCCAAGCACCCTGTTCTGCTTTCCCAAGCTAAGGGTGGGCAGAGAGGTGGGTGATGGGAACAACAAAGCTGGGAAAGGACCCTCCCTCCTGGATCTCTGCTGTTCTGTTGGCCAGGAGATCTGGCTGGCTGGGGGCTCCAGAAGGGGAAGAAAAGGCTACAACTCTCGCCCCTTCCACACACAGACCTGACGGCCAGCTAAGGACAGGCTGCCTGTTCCATGGAGTAGGATCCATGTATGTGGGCAAGTCGCCTCCCCTCCTGGATCTGTTTCTGGCCCTGCTCCTTTCTCATTACAGTTCCCACAACCTTCCTTCCTGTTCTGAATGCTCTAGATCCACCCCCAGCCTCCTCCTTCACTGGGACCCAGCCCAGCGCCAGCTGAGCTGCTGGGCAGGGCTCAACCTCTTGGCCCCGTATGACATCAGCCACCATTGCCATGGTGACAGAGACCTGGCAGCATCTCCTCAGGTCTCCAGGCTCGAGGTTTTACCATTTTCTTTCTTTAAATCTTTAATTTTCCCCCCTTACCAATGAGGAGAGAAAGTAATGCTGAGACTGGGCAAAAAGAGACTAAGAGGGAGAGAGAGAAAGCACAACAGAGTGAGAGACAGAGGAAGGGAGGGGAGAGCCACAGAGGGGACGGAGTGGGCCAGCACCAGCAAAAGGACAGAGAAAGGCCAGCCCAGCTTGAGGGAGATTCAAAAGCATCAGGGAGTCGGGGAACCTGAGTGTGAAGCTGGAGAAGACACAGAGCCGGACCAAGGAAGTTGGGGAGCTGGGAGGCAGGGAGCAAGATATGGCAAGACAGAAGAACAGGCTGGAGTAACCAAAGCCATTTCTGATGACAAGCGCTTGTCCCTCCAGACAGACAGGACTCAGCAGTTGGCCAGGGTCAGCCTGACTCAGAGCTGGGGCACACGGATGGGTTCCCCACAGCGATGGGATCCAATGCCCCCAGGGCTTATAAATAAACAGGCATGTGGGAAACATACATTCTTTCTCCAAGAAACATAATTTATGTTTATGGCCAGTTTTTTTATTCCTAAAGAAAAACAGTAGGATGTGGGGCCCCTGCCCCCAACAGTGTCCCTGAGTGTCCCCAGCTCTGGCCCCCCTCCTCCCTTTATTGCTTGGATGGGAAAGCTCTGGTCCTGGGAATGGCAGAGCAGGTCCCCACTCCTCACCCCCTCTAGGCTGTCCCTGGTGACAGAGTGGAGGCACACAGTGCCCGTCCCGTGCCCTCGCCGTGCCAGCCGCCCTGGCTGTGCCCATTTAAGGGAATGGAGAGTGCAGGCAATGGGAGAGGCGCTGGAGCAGCCTCCCAGAGTGGAGAGCCTTTCTCCTCGGTGCAGGAGGCCCTAGAGGCACAGTGGCTTCTTTTCAAATTTGACAGCTGGAAAGCTCAGGCTGTGGGGAAGGAGAGAGAGCTCTTTTCCCAGCAAGACTCCAGGCACAAGGTGGGAGAAGAGAACAGAAAAAAACGGGGGGGGGGACCCTGCCTTCTATGTCCCCCCTCCCCCCAAAGACTAGGGGTCCTGGGGAGGGAGGTATGTGCAATAAACCCCAGTAGAGGAGCAGGGCAGCAGCGTGTTAGGTCCCCAACCCCAGGTTCCCCCCTCCGTCCTGGGCACCAGCCCCAACCAAGCCCATGCCTGGAGTTTTGCCTCACACAGGCACACAGTCCACCCCAGAGGTAGCGGCTCCTGCACCAGAAAGGGTGGGCGCAGGAGAGCCAAACCCCAGGAGCAGGGAGGGTGGCGGCGCCCTGGGCCCCCAGACTCAGCAAGAGGAAAGGAGTCCGTGGACAGAGGTGACCCTGCCTCCAGGAAGGAGCTGGCACCTCGGTTGTGCTGTTAGTGGCTCGATCAGGGATTGGACGGAGCGGGGACTTCTTGGTCTGGCGACTGCCCAGAGATCAGCCAGAAGACGGTCTTCTTACTCCCCAGGAACGTCTGAAAATGGCCCCCAGGCCTGCCTGCGCCCAGCAGCTGACCCAATGCGGCCCCTCCGCTGCCGCAAGTAGGGGCCCACAGGTCCCACAGGTCCCACAGACCTGGGCAGCTAAGGCTTCCCCGAACCCCTCCTCTCAGGTGGCCAAAGCCCACCCTCCGGAGCACAGGCTCAGGTGCCCAGATCCGGAGCGGCTTCCAGGTTGCGGAGGCTGCTCCCCGTGCGCTCCAGGGCCCCGGCACCGCCGCCCCCAATGAGCAGGTCCTCCTCCTCCTCGTCCTCGAAGGCCCGCGCTGGGCGCCGCGGCTGCGGCCGGGTCGTGGGCTCGTCGCGCTCCGCCATGCGCTCGACGGCGCCCTCGCCCACGAGGAAGACGGTGTCGGCGACGCGTGGCGGCCCGGTGACTGGGTTGTGGTCGTAGGAGAAGACGCGCAGCGCGCGCAGCGGGTGCAGGTCGGGGAAGCCGCCCAGGCGGTTGCGGTCGAGGTCGAGGATGTGCAGGCGGCCCATGCGCAGCAGCGCGGGCGGGAACTCCTCGAAGCGGTTGCCGTAGAGCCAGAGGCCGCGCAGGCCCGTCATGCGCGGCAGCTCGGCGGGCAGCGCGCGCAACCGGTTATCGCCCATCTGCAGCGACTGCAGCGCCACCAGGCGCAGCAGCGGCCGCGGGAAGCGCCGCAGGAAGTTGCCCTCGATCCAGAGGCAGCGCAGGCTCTGCAGCTGCGCGAAGTCGGCGGGCAGTGCCAGCAGCCGGTTGCTGCCCAGGTAAAGGCGCGTGAGGCGGGGTAGGCGGCACAGGCCGTCGGGCAGGCGCTCTAGCTTGTTGAAGTCCAGCGCCAGGATGCGCAGTTCGCGCAGCTCCTCGATCTCCTCCGGCAGCTCGCGCAGCCCCGTGCCGCTCACGTACAGCTTCTGCAGGCGGCTCAGCGCGCACACGGCGCTGGGCAGCCGCCGCAGCCGCCGCCCGCTCAGCTCCAGCTGCTGCTCGCCGCTGCGCAGCTGCTCC